CTAGGGGAGAGCACACAATTGTCCGAACTTGGTACAGTTCTGATCTATGTGTGCTGAGAAACTTATCCAGCACATTCACACGACCTGATGAGTAAAATAATGGCAACTGAGAAGCAGATCTCATGTGACATAAAATAATGGCAAATAATAAACTGATAGATCACATTTAACATAGTCGCATCTCCTCCGATACTTTAAAGTCTAAACTTTTTGTACGAGCTTGCCGTATGATCGTTTTCACCTTTTATTAAATCTAAATTTAAATTCAATTTTTTTTTTTTAGTTTTGTCGTCAAATTTAACCACAAAGTCTTGTCATTAAAAGCGTCCGTTTTTAATACAAGATTTTAAATGATAATTAAAGCGATACTTGTGATCTGCCAAGTCTCCTAAAAGCGTCCCTTTGTTGTATTGATTCTCGTGTTTTATGGGTAAAAAAAAATTAATCACCGTCTCGCTTTTGTCTCCGTGTTGTAAGCGGCGGTGTGGTGGTGGTGATTGTAACACAGGCTCATTGACAACTTGACGTAAGTTGTCGCTGAAGTAGGCAGACACGGGGTCGACTGCAGACATTGATGGAGGCAACAAACAACGGCTGCGACAAGCGGTTGTTGTACGACAGGTGACAGACGAGACCGTGACTGTCATATCTGCTGTGTTCAAGGGATAGATTGTTTACTGCACCGACGTGGGAGTTATCGCCCTGTCGTTGTTTACTTTGAGATACGTCAAGTGGGAGGGGGGATAATTGGCTTGGTGATAGGTGCATTGGCACGCCACATATAGTTGGTCACTGAGGTTATTGTGATGGTCAAGATGCAGCATCCACTGTACACGTTTACTAAGGTCAGCCGGTTTGTACCTCGTGTTGCAGATCTGGTTTAAAATGTTGTGGACAATGACTGCAGTATATTTGTCTTGTAAAATTTTTTTTATCCCTATACCGTTATGTGCGCTTACAACAGATTACTTCATTGTTTCATTAAAAATATTCCCATCCTCCCCCTCCCCCCTCTTTACACACACTGGCCCTCTATCTTCCCTTCTCTCTCTCTATCCCCCCCCCCCCCCCCCCCCCCCCGCCTCCCGCGAGTAATCCCAAGATTTGTCTCTAAGAATACCAGCGTGTTAGTGTTATCGTCGCCCTGTCCAAACTTTGGCAAGCGGACATGACTTCAGCTCGAGTTCACGTCCGGTTTGTGTTGACCCGAAGATGTAGTCACTTGTCACTCCAGCACGACATCCTGAGGGGGTGGGGGAGGCACAGCTCTCATGGCGCTCATCTTTATCCTCTTTGTCTCGTCACACGTCTCACTACAGTCAGTCGGTCAGTCTGTACATGTATGATACAGTCAGTCGGCCGGTCTGTACATGTATGATACAGTACGTCTCACTACAGTCAGTCGGTCAGTCTGTACATGTATGATACAGTACGTCTCACTACAGTCAGTCGGTCAGTCTGTACATGTATGATACAGTACGTCTCACTACAGTCAGTCGGTCAGTCTGTACATGTATGATACAGTACGTCTCACTACAGTCAGTCGGTCAGTCTGTACATGTATGATACAGTCAGTCGGTCAGTCTGTACATGTATGATACAGTACGTCTCACTACAGTCAGTCGGCCAGTCTGTACATGTATGATACAGTCAGTCGGTCAGTCTGTACATGTATGATACAGTACGTCTCACTACAGTCAGTCGGCCAGTCTGTACATGTATGATACAGTCAGTGTGTTTGTCAGTATATGTAGGGTTCAGTCAGTCTGTCTGTCAATTGATGTAAACTACAGTCTGTCTGTTTGTCTGTCAGTACATGTCAGCTACAGTCAGTGTGTTTGTCGGTCAGTACACGTCTCACTACAGTCAGTCGGCCGGTCTGTACATGTATGATAAGTCTGTCAGTACATGTCAGCTACAGTCAATGTGACTGTCTGTCAATTGATGTAAACTACAGTCATTGTGTCTGTCAGTACCTGCAAGCTAGAGCAGACACCTGTGTGTCCTATAAGAAATGTCCTCGCCTGTGTGTCCTATAAGAAATGTCCCCATCTGTGTGTCCTATAAGAAATGTCCCCATCTGTTTGTCCTATAAGAAATGCCCTCAGGCGTGTGTCCTATAAGAAATGTCCCCATCTGTGTGTCCTATCAGAAATGACCTCAGCCGTGTGTCCTATAAAAAATGTCCTCAGCCGTGTGTCCTATAAAAATGTCCTCAGATGTGTGTCCTATAAGAAATGTTCGTAGCTGTGTGTCCTATAAGAAATGTTCTCAGCTGTGTGTCCTATCAGAAATGTCCTCAGCTGTGTGTCCTATAAGAAATGTCCCCAGCTGTGTGTCCTATAAGAAATGTCCCCATCTGTTTGTCCTATAAGAAATGCCCTCAGGCGTGTGTCCTATAAGAAATGTCCCCATCTGTGTGTCCTATCAGAAATGACCTCAGCCGTGTGTCCTATAAAAAATGTCCTCAGCCGTGTGTCCTATAAAAATGTCCTCAGATGTGTGTCCTATAAGAAATGTTCGTAGCTGTGTGTCCTATAAGAAATGTTCTCAGCTGTGTGTCCTATCAGAAATGTCCTCAGCTGTGTGTCCTATAAGAAAAGTCCTCAGCTGTGTGTCCTATAAGAAAAGTCCTCATCTGTATGTCCTATAAAATATGTCCTCAGCTGTGTGTCCTATAAGAAAAGTCCTCAGCTGTATGTCCTATAAGAAATGTCCTCAGCTGTGTGTCCTATAAGAAAAGTCCTCAGCTGTGTGTCCTACAAGAAATGTCCTCAACTCATGGTGTGTAGCTGTCAACACGCTCGAGGCCCACGGTACCGGCCTAGAAAGTATTTAGCGAACCTAAGCCAAACACAGAGCGGCCACTAACGCTAGCTGGAGAGCAGGCATGTCTTTGTTATCCCACCAGGCTTGTCGCTGTCTCTGTGGACACGATGTAGCCTACAGCTGTTATCATAGCTGGGGCTAGCTCATGGCCAGTAACGTCAACACGTTTCACAACTCTCCTAATTGATTAAATCGGTTTCCTAAGCTTTTATCGCCCAATGCATCCTCCAATTAGCCACATAAGCTCATGTTCAGGGCATCAACTCACACATAACCACATCACTAGATCAACCGTTTAAAGTGTCACCCAGTTACTAAGTTTTTGAGGCTATAATATTTATTCTAGTTATAAATTAGCTACTATACTTTTTTTTTTAAATGTGTAGCTTAGTTGGCTGGAACAGTAGTTTTGTACCCACTGTTAATGAAGTGTGCTCTGTGTTATTATCTTATTGCTCTTTGATGTTATTGACTACATCATTTTGTCGTGGCTTAAATCGAAAGTAGGCCCTATACCCTTATATTTTAACTCATGTAGAACTACCTATATCCGATCTCTGCACCAAATCTTTCTATGGGAAGTTATGCTCACCATTCTTCACGTCCTCAGCAAATGTTTCCCTAACATTTAGTTTCTCACCCCGGTCCCCTTGAAGTGAGTGCTATCATGTTACCACAAGATAGTAGATCAGGCATTGAAGTTTCTATTTTCCCACGTCAACGCTGAGTTCAAATATCCAGACTTAAAGTACGGAAGTGTAAAAAAAAATGACTATCATCATAGCCTGGTTGGTACTGAAACTTCCCCCGCGCCGGGTTCAATCCTTGCATCACGTCTATAAATATCAACAGTGCCCCAGCGTCTTCCCATGAGCCGACGCTACAAACAAAGACCAACTATAGCACCTGTTAAAACGTCTTACGTCCTGCTTGTATTTTTTTACCATCTTTGAGCGAGTTGGCTACATAACAGACACGACGACTTCCGTTCGGGTTCAGACGGCTGGGGTAGGTCAGGACTTGGTTCCAAGCCTTGAACCACCAGACGTGAATGGAATACCCCGGGATTCTAGACCTGACCTCGTTTACGGTGGAGCTAAAAAAAAAAATGAACATGCTGAGATGGCGCTCACCCTCCCCTCCTCCCCTCCCTCCCTAGCGTAAGTTGAATCATAATGAGCCCAAGTTTTCCCACGATGCGGCGAGCACATGTTACAGGATACTTAGGCGTTCTTTATCTCGCTCGTGTCCCGAGGCCGGCCCTACGCGAGGAGTGTTTGTGACAACGCGCGTGTTTGTGTGTGCGAAATGTTGCATTCCGCGGCTGTATAATGTTATAAATAAAACCTGCGCACGCCTATCACTGTGTGATTCACGTGTACATGCCCCCCCTCCCCATCACCAGCATTGGTTTAATCTGGGTGAAATAATTTCATCTATATAAAACAAGGTTTTATAAACTGAGTTGAACTTTTGTATAGCATTCCCAAGCATGCATTTTTTGTGAGCTTGAAATTCCCCAAACAGTCATCTAATTGGCATGCGTCATTCTTTTTCTTTTTTTTTTACTGATACTTTATTGTATGCGTTCCATTAATACATTAAGCTCACAAGCTGGTACTTGATAATGTACCTACAGTACTCGATACTGTACCTACAGGTATAGTCTGGGTTTGAATGAAGTACCCATTGTAAGGCCTGTAATGGATATGGCGTGTCACACAATACTGGAGGGATGATGTCTTGCCATGTTTTTGGTCACGCATGATTTCACCAGGTGAACCCCCCACCACCAGCTGTGGACGTTGTGTGTGTGTGAGTCAGTAGATTGTATTGATCAATGGCTTGTGTCAACACTCTACCCCCCTCCCCTCCTGTCTTTAACATTTGTAATCCCCTGTCTGCTTCCTGTATGTGTAAGGCATTAAATAAATCAACACAAGAATCTCCCACCTTTCTATGCCCTGGCATCTCATTAATTCTCTCCACGTTTGTGTTCCAGCTTAGTTTAATGATAGTCTCCCTCCCCCCTCCTCTCTTCTCCTCCACACTCCCCCCCCCCCCTCCCTCCCCCCATGGATTTTTCTCTTGTCTGGCTTTTGTATCTTCTTGTTTGTATTATCATATGAGCAGTCACATGACAATCACATGACCATGTTCTCTGTCCCCAGGGTGGATTTGCTCGCTGCTATGAAATCCTGAACATCAACACCAACAAGATTTACGCTGGGAAGATCATAAGCAAAACACGCATCTCCAAGCCTCATCAGAAACAGAAGGTGAGAACTAGATCTGTACACACAGAGGGGCAGTAGACAATCTAAACTACCAGACTGTTCATTTAAAAAATTGTTGTTTAAGTAGATAGAAGTATGGGACCAAATAGTGTCCACAAAATTCCAGTCCAAAGTGTTCCTACAGCCCAGCAAACACAACTGCTGACTTTTTATGACCTAGTTTCTGATGCTTACATGGCAGGTTAAAAAATTAGCACAGGGGCCCCTCCCTTCTCCCCCCACTCCCCAACTCAAACAAAATCTTGTCTGTAGTATAGCACAGAGAAGCTGTGTTTTGTAATCTAAAATATTTCCACACTGGTTATGATATATTTTTAAACAGTTGACACATTCATGTTAAGTTCACTCTAGGCTGGTATCACATGTGTAGAGAACTAATTATAGCAGCAGGGAGTGGAGGGTTAATTGTTCCTCTAATGTTGGGCTGGTGCTCATGTAGTTAGTGTCACCTCCCTAACAGGGGGGCGGGGTGTACCATAATTACACAAATAGCTCAACCAACTGGGTGCTGTGCTTCACATGGCTAGACACAAAGAATAATGACTTGTCATGATTTTTTTTTTTGACTGTACTAGACATGGGTTGACTATTGACCATAATAGGCAAAATAAAAAGACTAAAACTCTTCAGTGAAATGAGTTTAAAATAAGAATTAAGTGACCAATCACCTAATTTAGTTAAGGCACACAGTAATTAAAGTGTAATGGGCCTGGTGTCCTCTAGTCTTGACCTGATAGTGACACACCCCCCTAATAGGAAAGATTAATTAGGTTCTATCTGCCCCTAATTAATGACTACAAGTATCTTAGTTTTAAAAAAAAACATTCTATTTAGAAAAAATTGTAACTATGTATCTATCTACATTATATTATTGACAAAAGAATGTATTTCCTGTGTAATAAAATGTGTTGGATGGTCTGGAAGTGTATGCCTGTGTGCTGATAGAGGGAATTCCCAGTGTTTTTATCTCACAGGATAACACCCTCTTCAGCTCAGGTTTTATAAATGGCATCTAAAAAAACATTCATAAAGATAACAGGGTTGGGTGATGCTAACTCCACTTGTACCAGTGGTTCTAGAGTTTTCTTTATCTGTCAAATTAGGTTACATGTGGTCTAACTCTGCGACAGTTGATTAGTTGTAACAATTTTTATAAATGATGTATTCATGAAGTGATTTTTACCTAACATTTTTCCTAAATTTTATGATTTGGTTGTTGTAAGTTTTTTAAAATGTTGTATTAACGAGGTGATTTTGACCACAATTTTCCCCCAGATTTTACGTGAAGTCCAGCTCCAGAAGAATCTAAAGCACAGACACGTGGTTGAGTTCAACAGTTACTTTGAAGATGACAGCAATGTATACATTATCCTGGAGAATTGTAGTCGCAAAGTAAGGCTTGCATTCACGTATTCTTGTATTGTTGTTGTTGTGTTGATCTTTTCTTGCTCTGGTGGAATATGATGGGCTCATGGAGAGTATTCTTACAGTCTGGTCTGGCAATAATTTGAGAACCATCTACTTGATGGATGGCTTAGCTATATCAAATTATTATTTTCAAGATAAATTAAATAGCCCTGTTTATAGCAAATTCCAGTAGTTAAGATATTGTCATGGTGGTAATAATTAGATAATTTCCATTTTTGTGTAGCTAAATCTGGTGTATTCAATGTATAAAGTTATCTTCATTACAATGTGCAAATCTTTATCTGTAATGTGTACATTAGTTTCCCTGGCCAAGTATAATCAATTGAACCACCACATCACAATAACATTTCTAATCTCCACCAGTCCAAAATCAATTGAACCAGCACTTTGAAACTTGTTTAAAGCAAACATTGAAATCTTTTCTTCCAGTCTCTGGTCCATGTGCTAAAACACAGGAAATGTCTGACAGAGCCAGAGGTCCGCTACTATCTGAGACAGCTGGTGGATGGGGTGGATTATATCCATGGCAACCAGATAATCCACCGTGACCTTAAGCTGGGAAACATGCTACTTAATTCAGACATGGAGCTTAAGTTGGCAGATTTTGGCCTGGCGACTAAGGTGGACTTTGCTGGGGAAAAAAAGATGTAAGCTCATTAGATGCAATAATCCTTTGATGAATAGTTAGGTTATATCAGTATGTCTAATCAATCAGACCAATACCATGAGCTAAATTATGAGCTTAACTTTCATGTGATAAACTGAATCTTAATAATGGCCTTTTAAAATTGCCAAATGTATTGTTTTTGACATGTTTTAGTTTATTATAAATAGCATTGTTATCTAAATCATAATGACTTAACAAGTACTTAACTTGTATGCTGTACTGAAGGACAGTGTGTTACACTTAATAATGTACATGAATACTGTATTGTAGGACAGTGTGCGGTACACCTAATAACAAACATGTATACAGTATTGTATGACTGTAATACACCTAATAATGAATTTGTATACTGTCTTGTAGGACTGTGTGTGGTACACCTAATTACATTGCCCCAGAGGTCCTACAAAAGAAGGGTCACAGTTTTGAAGCTGATATCTGGGCTGTGGGATGCATAACGTAAGATTGCAATTATCCTGTCATAATTAGTTAACTAAATTAAATGCACAATTTTAACCTAATGATGACTCCAATTTTCTCTAGTAAAATAAAATTGTATATTATTATTATAACTCTCATTCCAAGTTTATTCCTAAAACAAATTTAGATTTATAGTGTTAAGATTTTCACCATCATAATTGTATTCTATTGTGATAGAGCCATGTCTTATCTTTTTAAAAAATGCTCCCACAGGTATGCTCTCCTTGTGGGTCGTCCACCTTTTGAAACCACCACACTGAAAGAGACGTACCTGAGGATCACAGAGAACAACTACAGTCTTCCATCCTCCCTCTCAACCTCGGCCAAAAACCTCATCAGGAAGTGTCTGCATCCAGAGCCAACCAGTCGACCAACCCTTCATGTAAGTTTTGACAGGTACCATAGCCAACCAGTTGACCAACCCTTCATGTAAGTTTGACAGGTACCATAGCCAACCAGTTGACCAACCCTTCATGTAAGTTTGACAGGTACCATAGCCAACCTGTTGACCAACCCTTCATGTAAGTTTGACAGGTACCATAGCCAACCAGTCGACCAACCCTTCTTGTAAGTTTGACAGGTACCATAGCCAACCAGTCGACCAACCCTTCATGTAAGTTTGACAGGTACCATAGCCAACCAGTCGACCAACCCTTCATGTAAGTTTGACAGGTACCATAGCCAACCAGTCGACCAACCCTTCATGTAAATTTGACAAGTACCATAGCCAACCAGTCTACCAACCCTTCATGTAAGTTTGACAGGTACCATAGCCAACCAGTCGACCAACCCTTCATTAAGTTTGACAGGTACCATAGCCAACCAGTCGACCAACCCTTCATGTAAGTTTGACAGGTACCAGGTAGGGCAGGTGGAGTAGATCTTGTCAAACCAGTCCAGTAGATAAACTTCTCATTGTCTAAATGCCCTGCACCTGTGGATACTCAGGTGTGTTACCTGGGTACAAATGTGGGGGGCAAATGTGGGGGTTAAAGTGGTTGGTAATGTTTAGTGTCAGTCTTGTCCTTATGTTAGACACCTGTGATTGTATAAGTGTTTAAGTGCATGTATTCTCTAGGAAGACATTTGTTTTTATTAACCTATAAACACATTGGTGTTTTTATTGACCTATATATACATTATACATTGATGTTTTACCTGACCTGTACATCCATTGATGTTTTACCTGACCTGTACATCCATTGATGTTTTACCTGACCTGTACATCCATTGATGTTTTACCTGACCTGTACATCCATTAATGTTTTACCTGACCTGTACATCCATTAATGTTTTACCTGACCTGTACATCCATTGATGTTTTACCTGACCTGTACATCCATTGATGTTTTACCTGACCTGTACATCCATTAATGTTTTACCTGACCTGTACATCCATTAATGTTTTACCTGACCTGTACATCCATTGATGTTTTACCTGACCTGTACATCCATTAATGTTTTACCTGACCTGTACATCCATTAATGTTTTACCTGACCTGTACATCCATTGATGTTTTACCTGACCTGTACATTCATTAATGTTTTATCTGACCTGTACATCCATTAATGTTTTATCTGACCTGTACATCCATTAATGTTTTATCTGACCTGTACATCCATTGATGTTTTACTTGACCTGTACATACATTGATGTTTTCTTACCTTTCCCAGGATATTCTTTCGGATGAATTTTTGACCGTTGGGTTTTTGCCTCACACTCTGTCTCCAGCTTGTTGCACAGCCATGCCCAAGTTTCCTTCACGCTACACCAGTAACAGGTAGGTGTTGACCACTTGAAAACTGGGCTTTATCATGCACACTGTCCAGCTGACAGAAGTTATCATAGGGGTTAAGTCATCCTCATAGGATTCAAATCACCATAGTGTTCAAATCTTCATAGGGTGCAAATCTTCATAGGGTGCAAATCTTCATAGTGTGCAAATCTTCATAGTGTGCAAATCTTCATAGGGTTCAAATCTTCATAGGGTTCAAATTATCAAAGGGTTCAAATCAGAGACCTAAATCACCATAGGTTTCAATTCACCATAGGTATTAAGTTATTCTCCCTAGCAGTTGACCATGTCCAGACAATCTGTTACCCTCTCTAGCAGTTGACCATGTCCAGACAATCTCTAAAACATTTATCTTTGCCACACCTGCAGGCCCATGTCTTATGCTGTACCACCTGAGCCTAAGTCCGACCCCATGGGACGTCTGGGCAACGCCCTCAGTCAGATGCACTTGGACTCACGCTCAGAGAATCTGCTGGAGGAGAAGGAGCTAGAGGTATGTGTGAGGGCTGGGTCTCTTTTATACATAGGGGGGGGGGGGAAGAGGGGCTGTGTATGTTTACTGCATTGGGGGGGGGGGGGGGCTGTGTCTGTTTACTGCATGGGGGGGGGGGGGGCACACTATCTCTTTAATACATAAGGGTGGGACTGTGTTTACAATTGTTAGTCCATTAAGATTCAATTTTTTAAAATTTTAAAGTTTTTTGAGTTGAAACATTTAGTGACATTTGTTTTTCCCCCCTAAGGATATAGAGAAGAAATCTCCTAGCCACTCCCCCACACACTATGAAAATATCCGCACAGCTAAAGACACACTTCCTGCAAGCTCCAACAACTACAACAACGATGGTGGCTCAGGTGATAGGTCAAGGTCACCACCCCAGAGAGGTCAGTACTGATGACTTGACATATCCAGCACACTAATCTTCTATTACAAGTTTGTAGAAGGGGAAAACAAACTGACAAAAAATTAGTTCTAATCATTTTTAGAAAAATGTTTATGTTAAATTATGAGAGCAAATTCAAACAGTGAAGAAAATAATGAAACCAGATTATCTCTAAATCACCAAGTTTTTCATTGCTCTAAAATGTAATTAATTTTTTTTTAAATGTTAGTAATATTTCTTATTTAAGTTAATTTTCCCCTTTATTAATTAACCTCAAACAAGTGTGAGATTTGTCTGATAATATTTTTACCTGCTAATCCAGCACCTACTGCACCCTTTAATGTAACCGCCAGCGTTTGATTAAAATCACATTCCTGTCATGTTTTCAGATCTCTCCAAGACTGGATCTGCTGCCATGTTGCTGAATGTCCTGGGATCTTGTCTAGAGCACATCCCAAAAGGTTGCTACATCTGTTTTATAGTTACCTAGATACTCAGGTTTATTATTTAAAAAACAGTGTCCAGACCTATTGAATCAATAGTTATATCATCATGTAGCTCTGACTTCTAAGTTTACAGTTTTTTTAGAAAGATATCTAACTGCCATTAGTGTCAATAGTTAAATCATCAGGTATTATTGAGTTCTTACTTTAAAGCTAGTTTAACCAAGATCACTTATTGTCCTCTCCCAGTGGCCAAGGGTACCCTGGCGCCAGTCAATGCTGAGATCACCTGGGTGACCAAATGGGTGGACTACTCCAACAAGTACGGCTTTGGTTTCCAGCTGTCCAGCGATGCCCTGGGTGTCCTCTTCAACGACACCTCCAGGATCATCATGGCCCCCGATGGAAGGTCAGTGTTTACATCTTAGTCTCATCGTTAACATACTCGTTATCTCATTACACCCTGATGGAAGGTCAGTGTAAACACCTTAGTCTCATCGTTAACATACTCGTTATCTCATTACAACATATTCGTTATCTCATTACCCCCTGATGGAAGGTCAGTGTTTACACCTTAGTCTCATCGTTAACATACTCGTTATCTCATTACACCCTGATGGAAGGTCAGTGTAAACACCTTAGTCTCATCGTTAACATACTCGTTATCTCATTACAACATATTCGTTATCTCATTACCCCCTGATGGAAGGTCAGTGTTTACATCTTAGTCTCATCGTTAACATACTCGTTATCTCATTACACCCTGATGGAAGGTCAGTGTAAACACCTTAGTCTCATCGTTAACATACTCGTTATCTCATTACAACATACTTGTTATCTCATTACACCCTGATGGAAGGTCAGTGTTTACACCTTAGTCTCATCGTTAAAATACTCGTTATCTCATTACACCCTGATGGAAGGTCAGTGTAAACACCTTAGTCTCATCGTTAAAATACTCGTTATCTCATTACAACATACTCGTTATCTCATTACACCCTGATGGAAGGTCAGCGTTTACACCTTAGTCTCATCATTAACATAAACATACTTGCTCTCTTATCACACCCCCATTCCCCAAAATAAACAACCAATGATGGATGTGTAATGTTAATGGCTAGGTGAGGGTATTGTGTGGTCAGATTGTAGAGCACATGTTGCAAATGTGAAGATCTCAAGTTCGCTTCCTAGGTTTAGGTTCATAATTCCACTCAGCTCTTTTAAGTACCTGACTCCATTTTGGTCAAGATTACATTGTAAAGTAAGCTGTGTGAACCACACAATCGCTTCATATGAATGTGACATGAACTCTGTGGACTGTAAGGTGTAGAGACGTGAATGTTAATAGCCACATATTCACCTGTACGTTGTTGTTTCCTTCAGAGCCATCCAGTACTACGATGTGACTGGTAAACTTTCAGCCTTCACCTCAGACTGTGTACCTGAGGAGTTGGAGAGAAAGACAACTCTACTGCAGTATTTTGCCAGATACATGGATGAGCATCTTATTCATGTAAGTTTTTTTTTAAATTTTATTTTCAAACATTTTGTTTCAGCTTAGAATTGTAGATAGTAATTTAGCAGTTGAAGATCACCGACTGAATGTTAAAGAATGATTTAGTAAACTTAATTTAGTAAGTGAAATCTTAACTCTATAAAGTATCCTAGGGTAATTAATTTTTTACTGAATGTTTGTCTAAACTTGATTTAGGGGGTAGAGGCTTGAGGAATTTGATGGTTTTACTGTTTTTTCTAAATGTTTTTAGTAGGTAAAGGCTTGAATCCAAGTTGTTAGGTTAATAAATGGTTGTTCTAAATGTTTTGACTAAATGTGTGACCCAAACATTGCCTTACAGGGTGGAGACCTGGAATACTCCAGCTACAGTGACTCCATCTCCTGGTCTGGTTCCTTGTTCCTCAAGAAGTGGTTTCGTACAGCCAAGGCCATCGTTCTCTACCTGAGTGATGGCACCTTGCAGGTAAGGCAGGAGAATATCTCACCTGTTCTACATCTCTGTCAACCAACAGCATATTATCACTTCAGTATTTCAACTCAATGCTTAGTCTATCAATTTACTAGCAGTACAATTACTTCCAATGGGACGGAGTGGTCTAGCGGTAGAAAGCTGGACTGCTAACCCATAAGTCTCGAGTTCGAATCCGGGTTCAAGTCAGTATACCGTTGCCGAGTCCACCCAACTCTGATAGGTACCTAACTCACGTTAGGGAAATTAAAGTCGGCTGGGCATAGTGCTGACCACATTATCTCTTCATATGCAGATGTCACAGAAACAAATGAACTTTACTTTACAATTACTTCCTATGTTTTGTTTGCTTGTATTCATACTGTAACAACCTTCCAAAGTTTCAAATACTGCAATAGATTTGTTTCGCTTGATATTCCCAGGTGAACTTTTTCGATGATCACACCAAGCTGATCTTGAGCAACATGAAGAATGAGTACCTTGTGACCTACATCGACCAGGAGCGCTCAGCTCGCACCTTCAACCTGAATCACATCATGCAGGAGGGCTGCGGCAAGGACGTCTACGAGAGGATGACGTTTGCACGCTCAATGCTCAAGAACCTTGTGGATATAGAAGGAGCTGATATTTAACATGGATTACCAACAAACACCGCACTAGTCTCTATGTATCTTATTCATGTGGAATGCTGCACAGCTGTGGGGATTGATAAGTTGACATGGAAATTCTTTGCCAGACAAAGATTTTTTGTGGAAGCTTACAACACATTTCACTCCAGTTAAATATGTTGATCACGGTTATTTTTTGGAACCCCAAAAAAGTAAAGGGCACCATGTTGTCAGTGGGTGTCTACAGCACACACAAACTCCAGGGGCCAGCAGTTTAAAAACATCCAAGTCTTTCCTTGCTGTGAGATGACTCGTCCAGTCAGTGGACTGGTGGAGGAGGAGTTTTGCCGTGCCATTCAGATACAGCTCACATTTTGATCTCTTATTAGTTGCCCAGAAACCTTCCGCAGAGGGTTCATTTTATCCATTAGTAAAATTTCATCTTTTATTAAAATGCTTTTTTTATATGCTTCACATACTTTTATTCTTAATTTGACGTGGGGCATTTAAGGGACCAAGTTTCTGTATGTTAAATTTTTTCAATAAATCATTGAGTGAGGAGAAGTAATGTTTTTTTTTAACTAACTAGGAGAAAACTTTTCCTGGGCCCCAAGTGATGAAAATCATCAAAGCACCATAATGTTTATCTTGTAACCTTGATTAAAGCATGCTGTTGATTGTAAAGATGTTCATATTGACCAACTTATTTACCAAAGTTTACATGTTTATTTTTTTTAAATAGGTTTTCCCTAATCTTGTTTGTTTACAATATGCAGATGTCAGCTGTACTGACTATTTCATAGGCAGGTGTTTTGTGCTAGGAAATCTACTTTTTATAAAGTCACAGATTTGACAGTGTGACATTCACTTACAAAATGTCATAATTTTGAGGAGAGATAACCATTTATGCAAGGATTTTTTTAAGACCTTTTTTATTTATAAGCGGAAAAAGAAAATTCTAGGTTTCAATACATTTTTATTATTATTAAAAGTTACATGTTAAAAATTGTGTACCACTTGAGAGAAAATTTATGGAAAAAGTAATCGTGCTTTCTTTTGAAATGTTTCGAAACAAAACAATTTCCTATAAGCAGAAGAAGGCTTCAGTTTAATTTTATCATACAGCAACGTTTTGTGCCTTAAACTAAACATTCCAGTTTACGAAACCTTTTTTTTTTTTTGTTAGATGACAATGGCTAAAGATATCACATTCATGCTGAAGTGGAATTAGATTACAGTGGCTAAATACATTTGATATTGAAATCGATGCATGCTTAACAATGTAAATTGTTTATTCAAATATTTTTTCTTTTATAAATTCTGTTTTAATAACATGGCATGAATGTTTTTATTGGTTCTGTTGGAATCATGCAAGAGGAAATAAATATTTTTGGTAAATGATTTTGCATAATTATTATGTAAATTTCATTTTTTTTTTCTTATGTAAATAAAACAAAGAAAGCAATACAGTAGATGGCAGTGCCTTTGGTGTCTGGCGCTACTGACTGGACATGTGCTGGACTGGTTGGCCTCATCCTGGGCAGTCTGACCTCACCCTGGGCAGGTTGACTTCAGCCTGGGCAGGTTGACTTCAGCCTGGGCAGGTTGACTTCAGCCTGGGCAGGTTGACTTCAGCCTGGGCAAGGTTGACTTCAGCCTGGGCAGGTTGACTTCACCCTGGGCAGGTTGACTTCAGCCTGGGCAGGTTGACTGCAGCCTGGGCAGGTTGACTTCAGCCTGGGCAAGGTTGACTTCAGCCTGGGCAGGTTGACTTCACCCTGGGCAGGTTGACTTCAGCCTGGGCAAGGTTGACTTCACCCTGGGCAGGTTGACTTCACCCTGGGCAGGTTGACTTCACCCTGGGCAGGTTGACTTCAGCCTGGGCAAGTTGACTTCAGCCTGGGCAGGTTGACTTCAGCCTGGGCAAGGTTGACTTCACCCTAAGCAGGTCAACCCTGGTCAGTTTGACCACTGTCTGGGCAGGTTGACCTGAGTTCTAAGCTCTATTAGACAAATCTGTTGGTACTGAGATAAATTGTAAACATTGCCTTATGTATCAAGTCATTACATTGTATGTGCCTTGATTCCTCACACAACCAATATCTGCTGGTTTTTATATATGTTTTTGACATATGCAAATCTTAATGTTAATGGGTAAAATATATTCAGTTTTCAAATAACCAAACTTAACTAAAACAGTTATTTTAAAATTGAGAAAGATGATATTCATACATCATAATTTCTATATTTCATAGTTAAAAAAAAAATAACAGTAAGATATTCTAATGAATTTTTTTTTGTTTAACAATTTTAATGTGCTGATAAAGCATTAAAAATATTTTTCTTTCATGGTGTCCAGATTTTTGTGTAAGTCCATGTAAAAAAGTTTTCTTAGGTTAATGTTTTACACACTTGTTCATGCAAGGGAATTTCAATTGTATTGTTCACTGTAGATAGAAACTTGTACAAAGGAAAAAATGCATTAAACTTTTTTTCTTCTTCATTTGATCAGTAATATTTGTATTCAGTTTTTCTTGTTCAATAATTCAGATATTTCTTTTGACTTGTAGATTTTTCCATTGAATGTTTTTAAAAAACAACTTGAGGTCCAAAAACTTGTGTAGATTCCATTTACCCTTGTGCAGTAACATTCCTATCTGTTACCCTATCCTTAAAGTATATACAACATGGATACAATTTTTTTTATGCTAAATATTTCCTGGCAATCCTATTGCTGAGTTAATGACCTTTGACCTTTTATTCCATTCTATTGCTTGTGTGGCAGCTGTTTTTAAAGAATGAAAGTTTTTAAAAAATTTCATGTATTTGCCAATATTTTTTCTGCCTATCTGGATGGTGAAGGAATGGAAGTTTTTACCTGTTCAGTTATTAAAATGTTATGCAACTTTACTGCTTTGCAGTTGAAGAAAACTGAATCTGTCAATAAATATTTACAAACTAATTTGGTTTTTAACTATTTTATTAGTTATTTCCCCTTTTTAGAATACTTCTAGCAACCAAGGTAGTGTCTCTAAAAGGTTTTTTCTAAAGCAACATTGCAAGTTTTAAGGTTGATTTAATATGTATTTTTCCTAAAAGTACTGGAAAATAAAAAATAACTCAAAGTGAATTAATTGTAAGTTTAATGCTGATTGAGATGATTATAATAAATAATACAAAATTTAATTTTTAACAAAGCAGAATTATTAAATGTGAACAAAAAGAAATTGCATAGTTTTAATGAGGTTTTTGTTCATCTTGATAACTCCACAACACATTTGCATATCATGATTTCAACATAATAAAAGCACCTCTTATGAAAGCCTATCATTACAAAAAAGCCTCAAATCCATTTCTAGTAATAAAGAAAGCCCCGATCTTAAAGCCCATCAATGACAATAAAGTTACACTACAAGATTAGTTAGAATCTGAAGGAAAAAATATTTTATCAAATAATTGCTTTTTGCTTGGAATTTTTTTTTAAATTGGCTAATTGAGGCAAATAATTTAAAATTTTAGAAGAGAAAATTTCAGACTGATAGTGTTAGGGTGAAATGCTTACATTTAGGCCTATTTAACAACTTGCATACACCACTGACAAACTATTGCATGTCTATACAACTAACAGCAACTAAAATATTAGACACATGTTTGTATAATTTTAGATTATTTAAACCAACCTTCAAATGTCAGACAACTAATATAGAACTGTCATTCAAAGACAGTAAACAGTGTCAGACAACTAATATAGAAATGTTATTCAAAGACCAAAAACATTAAACAACTCAAAAAAAAAACAGCTGTCATTCAAACAGTCAATATTGTCAGACAGCCTAGGCAAATATAAAGCCATTTCAACACATTAAAAGTGACAGTCACTGACAAGTATGTCAAAGAGGATTTTTCTAGTCACAACCCATGAAGAGATCATGTGACCAACATTAAGCTGGGGTGACCTTTAACCTTTGCTTCCTGCAGGGTCAAGCCATGAGGTCACAGTGAATCCCAATCAACCGACTTTTTAATGGGATTATAAGAGGGCATCAGGGATGTCAGCATTTGTAAACTGCAGAGTCATTTCAGTCAACATTTGTAAACTGCAGAGTCATTTCAGTCAACATTTGTAAACTACAGTCATTTCAGTCAACATTTGTAAACTGCAATGTCATTTCAGTCAACATTTGTAAACTGCAGAGTCATTTCAGTCAACATTTGTAAACTGCAGAGTCATTTCAGTCAGCATCTTTAAACTTTAGAGTCATTAAATTTATGTCAACATTTGTAAACTTTACAGTTTTGTAAACTGTAAAACAAAGTTGTCTAAACAGCCACTTGTACTTGTAAATTCTACATCAATGTAGAAACAACTGGCTGATCATTATATGATGACAACAGCCTACAGAGCACCTCCCTCTCAGAACCACAACCCTTCAAATGTGAATGGCACAAATATAATTTCAACAGTTACAAATATATTTAATTGATTTTTATAATATCAGTAATTTTAAACAAATCAACAGTGAGTGTAGGTAATTGAAAGAGGGCTGAACAAATTAGATAAACACAAATGTTTCTGTGTTTAGCCTTCACACAAATGTTTCTGTGTTTAGCCTTCACACAAATGTTTCTGTGTTTTGTCGGCCCTCAAAAACAGGGTAGGCTAAACAAGTGTCCATGTGTGAGAAGTAGATTTTGATGGATGTGCAAGCGTGTTTGGATACTAGTTCATCCAGGGATTCGAACACAGCACCATCTGCACGGAACCCGTAGCCTCTACCTGTGGGATGGTAGATGACGCAGTGTTTCACCTCTGTGGCACTGTCTTCAATGCTGCATCTGTCAGGTGACATAGGTAAAGAAATATGTACAAGCTACAGGTGATGGCACGTTCAGGTGACATAGGTAAAGAAATATGTACGAGGTACAGGTGATGGTCAGTTCAGGTGAAACAGGTAAAGAAATATGTACAAGCTACAGGTGATGGTCAGATAGAAGTCTAGGTGAAATTGAATTAGGTTAGGGTTTGGGCTATGGCTAGAGTTAGGGTTAGATTTAGTGTTATTATTAGGGTAAGTGTTATGGTCAAGGTTAGGCTTAAACAAATGTCTAGAGTTGGTTTTGATTTTGTGTTGCGTTTTAGGCTGAGGTGAATACACGAAGGTTATGTAGTTTGTTCATATGAAAGGTCATGTAGGTAGGTGGTGTAAATGTAATGTAATAAAAAATAACATACACGATAGAAAGTGCATATGGTTTTTGCACGTCATCCTTTGGTCTGATGAGGAAGGTGCCCACATCCCTCTCTGTCAGCAGATTTATTGCTTCCTCTCTGGAACAACTGACCAGCCATTGGTCTTGTCTCCAGGAGATGTTCTCAGTGTCTTCATTTAGGATACATTCCACAACCTCGGGTTTGGCTCCACATTCCAAAACTTGTCTGGAAAATCAAACAGATCAATTTATTTTTTTAATAAAACTGCAGTCTTCTTTGGCTAAGTTAAACTTTTTAAAAAACTTACTAATAGCTTTCTAATTGACTTTAAAAAAAAAATTACCTATTAATCATTCTAATTAAATTAAAACAATTATCACGAATGTAATTGTATAGTGGTTGCTATGTATAGCATTCAATAGATGACCTAAAAACTGAGTTGTTAACGACTAATTTCTTTAATGATCCCTAGCTAAGGTCTAAGGGACGTGAGGCCTAGAAGTAGAGAGCTAGTCTGCTAACCCAAAAGTCTCAAGTTCAAATCTGGGTTCAAATCAGTAGAACATTTCTGAGTCCACCCAACTCTGATGGGTACCTAACTCACATTAGGGAAACAAAATAGGCTGGGCATAGTGCTGACCACATTATCCCTTTGTATGTCAAGGTCATTGAAACAGATGAACTCTACTTCATCTGCCACATGTGTCTGCGGCACACACGGGAAAAGATGAATTAAGGTCTAGGAAAAAAGTTTACTATGGTGTTAAACAAAAATAAACAGTTTTAACTCATCTGCCCGTCAGAAAACAGTTGGCAGGATCTCCTACTGAACAAAATTGGCTCTTACTCTCTAAAACAAGCACACTGCTCCTCTTTGTCCATCAGATCTGACACGTATGCGTTCAAGTTTTGTAGCAGAAGTATTTGTTCACTATCCTTGCTCTTCACAGTGTTCCAGGCCTTCTGCGCTTGTTCACATATCATCATTTGTTTTTTGGCTGCCATTAGTGAGTTGGTTTTCAACCTAAAAACACAAAATTATACAGTAAATCCAAAACAATGTTTTAAGTTTGGTAAATAAAATGTTGACAAATTACTTCCTAGATGCCACGTGTTTTTGAATTTGTTATTCAATAAAAATTTTTACATGTTCTTTTTGTCATCACTTAATTTCCCTAACTCGTCCATTTCATCTTCACTGTTGTGGCTGGTGTTGATGAAATTGTCAAACATTTCTTTGGCCGCATCCAACGCTTTGGCTTCCATCTGTGCCTGCATTAGTTCCTGGTTAGAGAAATGTGAGACATAGTTTACTCCACCTGGGATTTGTTCCACAAATAATGATATAGAAATACTTGGGCTGGGTTTTTTTCCACAAACAATAATATAGAAATACTTGGGCTGGGATTTGTTCCACAAACAATAATATATGTAGGTATAGAAATACTTGGGCTGGGATTTGTTCCACAAACAATAATATATGTAGGTATAGAAGTACTTGGGCTGGGATTTGTTCTTCAAACAATAATATATGTAGGTATGAAGAGGAAATACTTGGGCTGGGATTTGTTCCTCAAACAATAATATATGTAGGTATAGAAGTACTTGGGCTGGGATTTGTTCTTCAAACAATAATATATGTAGGTATGAAGAGGAAATACTTGGGCTGGGATTTGTTCCTCAAACAATAATATATGTAGGTATAGAAATACTTGGGGTGGGATTTGTTCCTCAAACAATAATATATGTAGGTATAGAAGTACTTGGGCTGGGATTTTTTCCACAAACAATAATATATGTAGGTATAGAAATACTAGGACTGGGATTTGTTCCTCAAACAATAATATATGTAGGTATAGAAATACTTGGGCTGGGATTTGTTCACTAGGCAATAACAAATGTAGGCATCAACAAGTTTACTGCAACAGGCATTTATTTTATCAAACAACATGTTTTGCTTTGTATGTGACTTTGAAGGAAAAAAGTCATCATAGTTATCATGTTGACAACTGTCTCCACATTGTAGTGTTACCCCCCATCAATGAGAGGATGACTACTAATAGAGAAATTGTTTTAAACATTTTAGGGATAACTTCAACTGTTATCACTGACTCAATCTTGTAGTTGAAGGAAGACACTAAATTAAAACTGATTGAAAAGTATTTGTTATAGAATAAATTACTGATTTTTTTTTAACAATAAATGAATAATCAGTTAAAAATATATTACACTGTGAAGAACATTGAAAAATCTAAAATCTTGAGACAAAACTAAACTCACATGATTAGAGTCAAATTGCTTTTTTTGCAGAAGTGCATACTCTATTTTCATTTTCTGTAAACATCTGCCCAGGTTTGCGAGGTGAGATAAGGCATCATAAACATGCACTCTTCGTATGGACGGCTGCAGACAAACAATATTCATTTTTAATAGAAGGCAGCAGACTTCAGTTGCTTACTTGAAATATTGTTCTAATAAAATTTGATAACATAAATCTACATCAACAAAGATACCTAACTAAACCTATCACTATAAATTTATGAATGTTGTAAAGAAAAAAAAAACACCTTGGTGACAGGATAGACTAGCTTTGTGGTGAGGTTTTTGTTGAAATCTGCCAGTGTGTGTCTGCTGTAGTACTCCACTAGCTCTGTCAGGGAATCAAAGGTGCATTCATTTTTCCTCAGCCCATAACGTCCACCATGGGACAGTATTTTCAAACTTTTGCACTGTCCATCTTGCCTAGAGAAAAAACAATTTACTTCATCAAACACTGACACCGTTATATAAACAGTTGTACTGGCAGAGTATAAAGTAGAGATTTTTTTAAAAATTGATAGACTTAATAGCAAATGCTACAGTCATAAAAGAATTGACTTAACAGCAACAGTTACAGTCACACAAGACCTCAATAACACAACTAGGACTTGTAGCCTGCTAGCATAGCGGGCAGGGGGGGGGGGACATAAGTCCCTTGCGCCGACCTTAGGGGGGGGGGGGCGCCAAAATGGCTTGGTAAAACAAATTGAAAGTTTGAAAGGAGGGGGGTGCAAATCAAAACTTCGAGGGGGGTGCAAATCAAAAGTTTGTCCCCGGGTGCCTGGAAGGGTCGCTACGCCCTGCCTGCTAGATAAGGTTGTATTATATTTGTGTGGCCTTTTGTGCCTGTTTAATTTAGAAGGACCATTTAGAAGTTGACATTTTGGAGTCTTTCTGTTTCTGTTATATTCATAGAGACTATCAGTAAACACTTTGAGATCCTTAATAAAGATATTAATGCCACATTATTTAGTGTCCCCTTAGTCTGCCACAACCAGTTGCAAATGCCCAACCTGCTTAACAATTTCAGTATAGGGCTGGTAAGTAGGTCACCAACCAGTTCTATAGCTTATGCAGGTTTTATTGAGCCATAGAATTGGTTGGTGACCTACTTACCAGCCCTATAGGTCAAAGATTGTTACTATGTTACTGTGTCTAGACTACTCTACATTGCTGCTCTAAACTGACAGAAACACTTGAACAAGTCAAGAACTAAGCCCTACCTGACAGTTAATGTGAATTCTCCAACTGTTGTGGAAGAGTTCCTCACAAGAAAAACTTGAACAAGTCAAACCAAGAACTAAACACTACCTGACAGTTAATGTGAATTCTCCAACTATTGTGGAAGAGTTCCTCACAAGAAAAACTTGAACAAGTCAAGAACTAAACCCTACCTGACAGTTAATGTGAATTCTCCAACTGTTGTGGAAGAGTTCCTCACAAGGAAAGATCCATCTGGCAGCTCCTTTAGCTTTTCTTCAGTGGCTGATCTAAATATAGAAAGTTTTATTCACAATTTAATTTTATGTCAGTGGTTAGCTGTTCAACTAAATAAGATAAAATTCATGCCACTCCCCCCCACCACCACCACAGCAATACAAATCATGTCACTCCACCCACCCATAAAAATCACGCCCCCCAACCACACAAGTCATGACAACCCAGCCACACAAATAATGTCATTTCCCCCCCCCCCCCCCCCAAAAAAAAAAAAAATCTCGACGTTCCCTCTACAACCACACAGATAATGCCACCCACCCAACCATTACATATTTAATACATATCTACTGCACAATTCATAAGGTCCACCTAACCTACCTGGATAAATCTACCCACAACATTCTCACTGACCTACCTGGATAAATCTACCCAAAACATTCTCACTGACCTACCTGGATAAATCTACCCAAAACATTCTCACTGACCTACCTGGATAAATCTACCCAAAACATTCTCACTGACCTACCTGGATAAATCTACCCAAAACATTCTCACTGACCTACCTGGATAAATCTACCCAAAACATTCTCATTGACCTACCTGGATAAATCTACCCAAAACATTCTCATTGACCTACCTGGATAAATCTACCCAAAACATTCTCATTCACCTACCTGGATAAATCTACCCAAAACATTCTCATTCACCTACCTGGATAAATCTACCCAAAACCAGGGAGGTACTTTCTGTGTCAACCGTTGATTGAAGGAATCGCTCAAACCATTCGAGTGGTCAGATGGACTGTTAATATTTCCAAATCCAAAAGAGTTCGACTTCTCAAGCTGCGCAATTTTTTTCGACGGTGAATTGTTGGCACTTTCATACAGTTTAGCGTCAGTTCTAGGTACCCCAGTCCCGTTTAATGCAGCAGACACGTTGGTGTAGAGGGTTTCCTCGGAGTCGAAGCTCAGCTGATCTCTTGCCGTCTTGTCGATGCTCCTGGCCGGCCGGCTGGGCACTCCACCGTCGCCCTCATCTTCTGACGAGTCCAGCAAGGCGGAGAGAAGGCCTCTAGGGGTGGGCTTTGGTCGGAAGACAACTCCGTCTGCAGGGTCGTCCATCTTTACATGTACACAGCCAACAACTCGCACACAGCCAACAACTCGCTGACGGCTGAGGATATAAAAGTATTAACTTGTAGAATGTAGGCTATGAAGAATGTGTATAGTAGGCCTGCAAGTTTACTGTGGTAAGGATATCAAAATTTGTGGTAAGGATATCAAAATATAAACGTGTAGAAAATAGACTCTACAGACAGAATAACTTATAAGCCTGTTAGAGTCTAGGAAAAAAGTAATGACAGAATTATTTGAAAACTTTTATAATCTTTTAAAAGAGGCCCGCAGGGGGTCGAAATTGAGTTACGAGAATGGGCACAGACAGACGGATCACAGACAAGCAGACGGAGTTGAGGACTAATTTTTTAAATTTCAACTTTGGTGATTATTTATTAAAGACGTTTTATTGAAATGAAAAATCCTAAACAAAAATACCGCTAACTAACAATACACAAAGTATGTCTGTATCAAATTTAATGAAGTTGATCTAAGCTTAAAGACGAAAACTTTAATTTTATTTAAGTTTAAGCCTTTAATTATACGTACACAATCACTAGACTTTGGTACACCACTTGATACAATTTAACAAAAAAAAACAAATATAATGTTACACCGACCAATAGAAACTATACAGGAACCCCAGTAGTCAACCGTCTCCTCCTTTCGTATAAAGTTGAACGCGCTTTAAGAGCAGCCACTTAACTAGATAGTTGAGGCTGATATCAGATGGAGCAAGATATGGGATAACATGCAGCGCTTGTCTCAATTACATATTTGCATTGTCACACCCCGTGTACAACACAAGCAATTTCACGACACAGTAGGTGCAAGGTTTTAAGGAGCGGCGAGATAGAAGAACGGACGACCAACATCATCGTTTCTGTTGATGATAACCAGCGTTCGGCGCTGGGCTGTCAATGTTAGTAGACATTCAACAAGACTGGTCAACATGTCTTGACCCTCGTTAACACGTCTTGACCCTCGTTAACACGTCTTGACCCTCGTTAACGTCTTGACCCTCGTTAACACGTCTTGACCCTCGTTAACACGTCTTGACCCTCGTTAACACGTCTTGACCCTCGTTAACACGTCTTGACCCTCGTTAACACGTCTTGACCCTCGTTAACACGTCTTGACCCTCGTTAACACGTCTTGACCCTCGTTAACACGTCTTGACCCTCGTTAACACGTCTTGACCCTCGTTAACACGTCTTGACCCTCGTTAACACGTCTTGACCCTCGTTAACCACGTCTTGACCCTCGTTAAACACGTCTTGACCCTGATTAACACGTCTTGACCCTCATCAACACTGGTCAACATGTCTTGACCCTCATCGACACTGGTCAACATTTCTTGACCCTCATCAACACTGGTCAACATTTCTTGACCCTCAGCAATACTGTATATTGATCCTCACCAACAACAACACTAGCCGTGTCGTCGCGACCTCCCAAAATCCATACACTCGTGATAAACTAATGCAACTAATAACACTCCAACGATATATAGACCAGTGATAAACTAATGCAACTAATAACACACCAACGATATATAGACCAATGATAACCTCATGCAACTAATGACACACCAACGATATATAGACCAAACGGTCCGCCTAGCTTAGAAGTTATTTATGCTCCGTGTTGTGTTTTAGTGTAAGCCGTGTTACAGTCTAATCGACGTGTGCACCTAATGTTGACTTTATCTGACGACACGGTCACTGTTTGTACTGTCTAGTCATATACGACATTTATATTTTTAGACATTTGTCTGACATTTTTTGATAATTGTGCGCCAGATTTTTAGACATTAAAATTTGTGTGCAATATTTTTAGACTTTTGTGTGAAATATTTTTAGACATAAATTTTGTGTGGCCCCATATTTAGACACTTGTGTGCCATATTTTTAGACATTTGTGTGCCATATTCTTATGGTCCAACTAATTCAATCAACGTTTTCTGAGTGTGTCAGCTCTGGTCATCCCACCCACCCACCCTACTACTCACGGGTCAAGGTCAAATAGTAGAACAGGGTGAACGGGAGACGGGCGTAGAATGGTTCACCAGATTTAGTCAGTGGGGAAATTGGGCAGTCCTGGGGATGAAGTAAAAGCTCAAAAAGTAGCTTTCACACAATGTTACACGATGTCACACGATGTCACACAATGTTACACGATGTCACACAATGTTTCACGATGTCACACAATGGTCACACGATGTCACACAATGTCACACAACGTCACACCATGTCAGACAAGGTTACACGATGTCACATAATGTCACACAATGTTACACGATGTTACACAATGTCACACAATGTCAGACAATGTTACACAATGTCACACGATGTCACACAATGTCAGACAATGTTAGACAATGTTAGACAATGTTAGACAATGTTACATAATGTCACACGATGTTACACAATGTCACACGATGTTACACAATGTCACACAATGTCACACAATGTCACACGATGTTACACAATGTCACACGATGTTACACAATGTCACACGATGTCCACACAATGTCACACGATGTCACACAATGTCAC